CCAAAAAAATCTCAAAAAAATCCAAAAAAAAATCCTAAAAAGTTCTCAAAAAAAATTCTTAAAAAATCCTAAAAAATCCCCAAAAAATTCTCAAAAAAATCTCAAAAAAATCCAAAAAAAAATCCTAAAAAGTTCTCAAAAAAAATTCTTAAAAAATCCTAAAAAATCCCCAAAAATTCCCCAAAAATTCCTGATTTTTCCCCATCCAATTCCCAATATTTCCCACAGCCTACACTCTGTTTTACTCCCTGGACAAGAACGCTCCTCTGGCCGAGTGGATCCCGCAGTCGGTCGGATCCGAGCGCCTTTCCCATCAAATCCCGGATCTCCTCCTGGATTCCGGATATTTTTTCCGCATCCAAGCTCGGAATTCCAAAGGTTCCGGTCCAATCTCGGATCCCATTTTCTTCAGGACTGCCAAAGGTTTGGGAAAAATGAGAATTTTGGGGGATTTATGGGGATTTTTTATGGATTTTTTGGGGATTTTTGGGCATTTTTTAGAGTTTCTACGGAATTTTTTTGCATTTCTTTTGGATTTTTGGGGGATTTTGGGAGGTTTATTGGGAATTTTGGGGTGTTTTTTTTTTTGGGATTTAGGGAATTTCTGCAGGATTTTTTGGAATTTTTTTGGGATTTATGGGGATTTATTGGGATTTTTTAATGGATTTTTTTGGGGATTTTTTTATGGATTTTTTTGGGATTTTTTAATGGATTTTTTTGGGATTTATTGGGAATTTTTTAAAGCTTCTATGGAATTTTTTGGGATTTCTTTGGGATTTTTGGGGAATTTTGGGAATTTTTAGGAGGTTTATTGGGAATATTTGGGGTTTTTTTGGGATTTAAGGAATTTCTGGGGGATTTTTTGGGATTTTTGGGTTTTTTTTGGATTTTTTTGGGATTTATTGGGAATTTTTTAAAGCTTCTATGGAATTTTTGGGGATTTCTTTGGGATTTTTGGAATTTTTAGGGAATTTGGGGAATTTTTGGGAGGTTTATTGGGAATATTTGGGTTTTTTTTGGGGATTTAGGGAATTTCTGGGGGATTTTTTGGGTTTTTTATGGATTTTTTTGGGATTTTTTTGTATATTTTTGGGGGTTTTATTGGGATTTTTTATA